TTCCTGGCTATTTGCCACGTCGAACATTGAATTATATCTGATGAACATTCAAAAGGGGAACATGAAAATTAAGAATAAAATCCTCCGAAATTGAGAATTGACATTCTTCTTCGAATCGGATGAATAATATGATGAATAATGATCTAGAAATATGACTTACCAATATATTCAGCATTGAAATGAAAATTGGAATGTATAGGAGAAGTATACTGGCATGAACTCTGATCTTGATGAGCTTGAAAACGTCCAAAAATAATCATTCATATCAGTGATATGGGAAATATTATCTCTCACACACAGGTTATATGACTTTATTGCAATGAACCCATTGAATTAACTGAAAAAGAGTAAATATTCTCATCACATAGAGAATGCGAATTCTCAATGTATTGCTTTATATAAATATATATCCATTTTTATATGTTCATGATTTATCTGAGAATATTCCTTTTTAAAATAAATCATTGAAATATTTGGTTGATTCAATGAAATATTTGGTTGATTCAATGAAATATTTTGTTGATCCAATCAAATATTTCGTTGATTCAAGAGAAACTGTATTTCCATTCGACAAATTGTTTTGTTGAACCAAATTCAGTATTGATTCGGGAATTCTCTGAAATTTCACATTGATAGAATAAACTAAACTAGGAGAATTTCCAGTCTCCACTTCTCTTCTGATGATGCAAGGCTATTTCGGCTTGCTTAGCATCCTGATTTTGATTTATCCAGCTGATATTTCAAACACGAAGAATCAGATTTCATGTATATAATGAATTCGAGGCAGGCATAGACGAGGCGAAAATATCGCCATCTAGTGGCGCATTTTCAACTTGATGTTGAATGAACAAAATATTTTATTGATAACACATATTTCGTTGCTCTATTCAAGCAAATGATACGTTCAAAATGAGTTCTTTGCTACATCGGAACAAGAAAACTTGTATGTTGTTTCAAAGATATATTTTTATCAAAATGATCATTATTCCATCAAATCAACAAAATGTTTATAGTTCAATCAACATCGACCTCATTTTGGATAGACAAAATTTGGTTTTGAGATATCTATATATTTTGTTGATTGAATTGATATTATACTGTTGATTCAATTGAACTACACTCTTGATTTGAACAAGCTGCTTCCATGAAATAATCATGTATCTGTTTGATTCAACAAAAAATTGCTCAGTCGAACAAAAATAATCCAAGCACAAATAGTTTGTTGATGCAACAAATCCTTATTTTTTTTCGTGTAGGGTAAGACATTTCAAGACTTCCATCAGTTTTGAGAAGTGGCAGATTGAATGTCAAAATTGGAAAAAAAATCATTCCTTGATTAATTCATTCAAGACATAATGGTAAAATAACTCCGGTTGTATCCACCAACTTTTTGTGCATGCACACTTAATTATAATGCATATTTTCGGATTATTATCTCGCAGTGACATTTGACACGTATTACAACCGACATACAGACCCCCCCTAATATGTTCAAAGTCATTTCCATTCACCCTATATAAAGAATTATTGCATTTTTTTCGATAAATTCCACTGGAGTGTGTGATCGCAAGAGGTCGACCCCTTTTAATGACAACATCAATGGGGGTGTTATGGGTTTTTAACTAGAAACACATGTCATTCTGGCTTGCTGGAGGTGTTGGAGTTCGGAGATTTCAATCGAGCGAAGGATATCCAAAAATAGTCTGATTATTGTAATAAAAAATCAAATCCGATCAATTTTAACCTTAATTTTCTCTCAAAAAATATGTTGAAATAAGAGGAAAAAATTAACTTCTTCACTATTATTGATTATTACGAAATATGGAAAATCGAAGTTACTCAAATCAAGGCTTGATGAATTCATTTTGTACCTATGGATAATGTAGTAAAATATTGAACAGATCGTGCTCTCTATTCTACGATATACAGTGTCATTCATAAAGTCGGCATCATATGGGAAAAACTTTTATTAATGACTTATTTCGGAATTCGAGTTGGACGTTGAGTTTTGCTTCGAAAGAGATGAAAAATGGCCTACTCAATCGGGGTCACGTGAATTTCGCTACATGTCAAAAGTGACACTTTTTCAAATTAATCGCTGAAAGTAGGCTTATTTGTTCGAATATTGAAAAAGTTTACTTGAAAAAGTTGTTTCTATTTGAATTTTACATATGTGACTCGGATTTTATCTTTCTATTACATTTTTTAGACTTCGATATTTTTTAGAAATTTTCGAAATTTCTGTAATAGTAAAAAATTGTAAATTCGATAAAACTACTTCATACCAGTAGCTTCATCATGCTACTAACTTTCAATTACTAATTTTCACTAATTATCGACAAATATATGATTTTCTTCAGAAAATGGTAATCTTCGCTTCAAAATTCTGTTATGTTTGATGCAAACATAACATCGAAATTCTGTTATGTTTGAGTCAAGCATTTAGAAACGAAATTCATTTAAATTTATTTTCTCAGTACTAAAAAGATCATTTTAAAAGGATTTCGTTTCTAAATGCTTGACGATATATCAACTTTGCATCAAACATAACAGAATTTCGAAGATATTTCTGTCCATAATCAGTGATAATTGAAAGTGAGTAGCATGAAAAAGCTACTGGTATGAAGTAGTTTCGTGGAATCGACAATTTTTCAAATATTACAGAAATTTCGAAAAATTAAGACAAAACAAAATCTAAAAAATGCAATAGAAAGATCAGATTCGAGAAGGATGTGTAAAATTGCAATAGAAACAACTTTTTCAAGTAAACTATTTCGATATTCGAACAAATAAGCCTAATTTCAGCGATTAATTTGAAAAAAATTTCACTTTTGACATGTAGCGAAAGTCACGTGACCCCGATTGAATATGCCATTTTCCATCTTTTTAGAAGCAAAACTTAACGTCCAACTCGAATTCCAAGATAAGTCATTAATGAAAGTATTTCCCATATGATGCCGACTTTATGAATGACACTGTATAGTGTATATCCTCACATGCACTTAGTCCTCATTCTTGTTTCTTTGCTTGTCCGAAGTTTGATTTTGATCTCATAAACTTTCACCTACTCAAGGGTTGCATGATCTGAGGATTTTATCACGTTGAAAAAAAGACAAATTCTGTTAACGATTTTATACATTTTATACTTACTATACAGGGTGATTCAGCTTATGAGGCACAAACTGTAATGGGAGATAGATCCCATCATTTCAATCGGATATGTTCATATAAACATTAGTCCGATCTCGTCCAGAAGCGGAGCTACAGGGGGTCAAAGTTCAATAATTTTGTTCTATTGATTGAAATCTCTCGCTTACTTCTTGAGATTTCATTTTGAAATTTGGTGTGGTCAATACTTCCTAGAAGATCAGCATTTCAAGCCGTCTGAAGATTTTCAAAATCTACAGGGTGATAGGTTTTTGTGGGTAGAGCCTTCTTTATGCCCCCCAAACTTTTTCGTCGTACGCCTCTGGCATCTTTCACTGATCAAATTGTGTGGATCGTTCAATTTAGAGGCTTTTTCGATTCCTAATTCTTTTCGAGAAAACGAACCATTTTTGAGATGAATGAGCATATACGTTTTAAGACATGTTAATTCGGCCTATGTTTCGCTTAAATTTTATTCTTTGACAAAATTCGTCGAGAATACAATGAAATGTACTCATCAAAATTGCAATCACTAGTCCAATCTGGATCAGTTACGGAAATACAAAGGGTAGAATGTTGAGTTTTTTTTTTTCAGTTAAATGAAATTTGAGCGAAACATAGGCAAAATTATATCGAAGACTGGAACCTTTGGCACGATAATACACTACACTGTTTTACCACTAACCAAACCGATTTTTTAACGCCTCGACACGTGTTTCGCTAACTATGTTAGCATCTTCAGGAGAAGATTAAAATCTTCTAGTAACCAAATCGGTTCAAAAATTGCTAGAACTAGCCATAAAATTGCTGAGTTGGCAGCACCGACATTAACAAATGTGCAAAAGGATAGAAAAAACAAAATTGAAGTTGGGCGTGTACACCTTAGTAGACCTTTTAACTCAATAACCATGTTCATAATGATCCTTTTTTACATAAATAATGATTGGCGACATAATTCGATCGAAAAATTAGCTGGAATGTTTTATTTTTGGGTACATAAATAATAGTACCTTCTGAAAACGGACCCTCTTATGACGTAGAAACCTCATCTCGCCATAGTTGAAAGAAAATACCAAACGCCCGACGAAGACTGAGGCAACTGATATATTTATTCTCTCAACTGTGATCTCGCGCTAATTCACTCTGTTAGAAATCATGTATCATTCATCTCTGTTTGGAATAGTCTTGTTTCAGTATTAGGGTTTTGACGTCACATCACATCGCCTCGTTTTCAGAGGTCCGAAAAATCGGGGATTTCAATAATTTTTTATAAAACGTAGGGAGCTCACAGCAAGAAACGGTTTGCGGAAGTGAGCTAGTTTGGGTGAGTTCTATCGAATTATGAAATAATTTTTTTTTGTGATATAAGCCCATTGAACAATCAATTCGAGAAATTGGAAATAATCGAAATTTCGTCAGTTGCGTAGAAAATATAGGAGGAAAAGTTATCAAAACCCCCTGTAGCGCACCTATGGATTAAATTCTCGGAATGTCTTCCTGATAAAAAAATTAACCATTGAGAGATGAAACCATATACCGAATTTGATTGCAGTATATTCCATTTTTCTTGAGATATTGCGAAAAAACTATTTCAATTTCTTAACTTCAACGCCCTGTATCTTGAGAACTGAACACTTGAAGATCGTATGTCCCTATCTCAGTGATTATGAAATCACGAGAGCTATCACCTGTCAAGCGTTGTGATCGAATTTCGCAACACCCTGTATAGTACAACCCACGCACAGGTTTATCCTTCTGTGGTAATCCTATATTTATTTATCGTTATATGAAATCATTGTATTCTTGTATACTGATTTAGATAGTGAAATAAATATATTATTATTATTACTCACCTTTCTCGATCTTCGGCACGAGTGGCGCCACCTCTGGTCGTCCGTTCGAACCCTGTCGCGAGCCATTTTCCCTCTCGCTAGGCGCAGATAACTTCTCGGCGAGAATGGGATTGGCGGCGGCGATGGTGTACCTGCGAAGCTCTGGGCATGCGAGCGCGCTCTTGCGGCCGCACGGCGAACCCGACAGAGACGAGGAGGCGGACTCGTCGCACGACGAGCCGTTGTTGTTGTTCTCTTCTTCTTGCTGGAATGGAGAGAGTGGGAGCCGTGAGGTGTGGTTGAGTTACTCGTCGATAGATGGCGGTAGCGTCGCGAAATAAAAAAAATTGTCGTGGCGGTAACGTTTACGCATAAACAGGCATAAACAAACTACACTCCATAGTTTACGCTTCATTGAAGATGGAATTTATGATGGAACCGAAGTAATGATGTAATGGGCGTGTTTTTCATTCCATCGAAGAAAGTGCCCACTGATAGATGCGGTTTTTTGTCGTGACGTCACCAATTTTTCTGTTGGAATTTATGCTGGAAGGATTGAACAATGGTTTATACAACACATTGATGGAAACACGGATTTTGTTGTGTGTCAGTCATCATGTATCTTGAGAATCAGAAGAGGCTAATTCGATTTTATTGATTAACACTGACTCTTTCTTCTAAAATCCTCAAGAATCTCAAAAATCCTCGATATTAATTGTTTTCTATCAAATCAAAACAAAAAACAACACTAAAATGTGTCAACTGTCATGTCAATCTCCTCCAAACTGCTGGATTCTCGAAAAGCGATTTAAAAGTGCGCATTTTATTACAACAGTTCGATGGATGTCCATCAACATTCCAGCGGAATTTTGCAACAGTTTGATGGTTTCTTCGATTCATGCGCATGATAAAATGTTGGAATGAAAAACGCACCCAATATACAACACATGAATGGAAATGGATGGAAAAACAGATGTCGTTGCCTCGTTTCGTGTCAGTGTGTCATATATTTTCAGAATCTGAAGAGGCTGATATGATGGTTTCCATCTTCCTGACTATTTTAGACTCAGATCGAATCTCAATAATCTTAGATATTTTTTGTTTGTTAAATATTGAAAATGTGTCAATTTCCATGTCAATCTCTTCCAACCTTCAGTGCTCTTTTTATAACAACAGTTCGGATGGATTTCACCAATAATCGGTGTGTTTTTCATTCCAACAATTTGACATGCGCATGAATCGAAGCTACCATATCGAATTATTGCAAAATTCCGCTGGAATGTTAATGAAAATCCATGTATTATTATAAAACTGTTGTTATAAAATGAGCACCTTCATTTTGCTTTGAGAGAATCCATCATCCGGTCTGGAGAAGATCAACATAAAACAATAATTGAAACATTGTTGTTTGTATTGTTCTTTGTTTGGGTTAGATATAGAGGAAACAAAAAATATTGGAGATTTTTGAGATTCCTGAGAAATTTCAGAAGATGGAGTAAGTGTTAATCAATAAAATTGCGTTTCAGGCTCTCTTCTCCTCATTCTGATTCTGAATAAGATAAATGACAGACTCTGACACAATAAGTGACACAACGAAAACTGTTTTTTTTATCAATGAGCGAATATTCCATTGTTCCATCAGTTTCATCATATATCACATAAATTCCATCAGAAAATTGGTGAAGTCACGACAAAAAAAGTGCATCAATTAGTGCGAACTTCTTCGATGGAATGAAAAAACACACCCTTCATCTAATGGAATTTTCAATGAAAATAAATTTCGGCAATACGGGAAATTAACAAAGTATTTAGCACTTATAGCAGTAACATCGTTTTCTGTTGGTTCAAAGTTGAAAATGTGTAAAGATTTGGAATCGCCGTGATAAATATTTCACGTTAGGTCGGATGGTTTTCATTGAAAATCCGGCAATTTTTAAAAAATCCCACGAACATTCCCAATAATATAATCTATATAAAGGTAAACAGTCACGAAAACTTCCCCTTATCATATATCGATCAGTATATATGGGTATATATCTCATGAATTCATATAATAATCCCATAGTAACAATTTACGTGCATCTAGATTGTTTTCAATTGAAAACCAGGCAATTACAATGGAAAATTAATCAATTTTTGAAATTTGGCTAGGAAATAATATATTGTTATCTTCTGGATCTAGGACAAAAATATTTATTGAATTGGGCTCAACTTACTTTTATCACTTATGTTCTGTGTTCTGTGAACTTACAACTTAACCTCACTTTAAAATAAACGCTGAATGAAGAACGTTGTACTTCCTCAAGAGTTATGTATTGAAGCATAATTACTTTCCTTACATTACGATACCAACATTCACTACACATTTACATACAATCTACGTACAATTACAACAAGGTATAGATTCGGGAACCTCGTGACATTGTACGTGCACCTACACGGTTTTTATTGAAGTAGTAATATTTTGAATTTGGCAGAAAAAATATTATGTAACATCGCTGATGTCGTTCTCTTCTTCTTGCTGGAATGGAGAGAGTTTTAGGTGAGGTGCGCCTACTCGTCGGTAGATGGCAGTAGTGTCGCAAAATTAAAGAATTTTCAGATTGGAATTTTCATTTCAATGAAAAATTTGGCAATTTGAGAAATTCCCAATGTATAGCACTGATAGCATGCAGTAATTTCGTTTTCTGTTGATATTTTACGTTAGGTTGGATGGTCTCTTCGCTGGTTTATCTGTTTGGTCTAAGTGTTGATTGATATATATTATGCAAGCATAAGCGTAATATATCAATCAACGGTCTAAGTCAAAAATGTATACAGGGTAAGTCATTAGTGTGGCAAAGTGAGATATCTGCTTTACTATTTGAGATAGATGAATAAAAATTCCAGAGATGATCTAGGATCATGTGAGCAGCACATATCCAAACCATTTCGCTTTATACAGGGTAACTCAAAGATGCGTGGCGTATTAAAGTTATACTTTTCTTATGGGACACCCTGTATTTCATTGAATTTTCGCATTCTCCTTTGTGAGCTGATTTCATTATTGCATCACACTTGGGATCTAGCGAGAATGATTACAGAGATATAGGGTCACATAGGGTGTTCAAAATCCAGATTTTTCAACTTTAGGATTTTTTGCGTCGAAACTATTCATTATTGGTCGAAACGGCTTCAATGTCCCTATCCCAACTTTTGATTTATTATCTACTGATATTTAATTGGAACAGATACAATAAGAGTGATCAGAATGCTGAATCTTGAACCACCCTGTATTTGTTCCAATTAAATGTCAGTAGATATTGAATCAAAAGTTGGGATAGGGACATGAAGGCCGTTTCGACCAATAATGAATAGTTTCAACGCAAAAAAAAATCCTAAAATTGAAAAATCTCGATTTTGAACACCCTATATCTCTGTAATTATTCTCGCTAGACCCCAAGTGTGATGCATTGATGAAATCAGCTCACAAAGGAGAATGCGAAAATGCAATGATATACAGGGTGTCCCATAAGAAAAAGTATAACTTTGATACGCCACGCATTTCTGAGTCACCCTTTATAAGGCGAAATAATTTGGAAATGTGCTGCTCATGATCCTAGATCATCTCTGGAACTTTTGTCTATCTATCTCAAACTGTAAAGCCGTTATCTCACTTTGCCACACTAATGACTCACCCTGTATAAATTCATAATTCTCGTAAAAATTTACGTGCACCTAGATGGTTTTCAATTGAAAACCAGGCAATTTCAATGGAAAATTTTTCGGAATTTGACTGGAAAATATGCAACTTTGTTACCCTTTGAATCTAGGACAAAAATATGCATAGAATCAAAAACCTCTGGACATTTTACGTACACCTAGATGCTAGATGGATTTTATTGCAAAAATAGTAATTTTTTGATTGTGGCAGAAAAAATATTGTGCAACTTCGTTATTCTAGAAGGCTAGCGCGCCCTTTTGGCCGCACAAACAACCCGATAGCAGAGAACGCAAAGGATTCTTCGCACGGTGAGCCGTTGTTCTCTTCTTCTTGCTGAAATATAGAGTCGTACGATGAAGTGCATCTACTTTCCGGTAGATGGCGGAAGAGTCGCGAAATAAGAGGACCAAATTATGCAGTGAGTCTGTGCTGTCAGCTGTGTCACAGAATACTCTATTCTGTCAATTCTGTGGCTGTGTTGCCTGTCACCTCGTGACATGCTTTATGCATTGTTATTGTTGAATGAATGATGATCTTTGTAATCTGTTTGTTCTAAAACTCGAAGCTGTATACCAACATATTACAGAGTGGGCCTTTGAAAACGAAACAGAGGCTCTGTAGGTCGCCAAAACCGGATTATCAAAAAAAACTGAAACAGGTCAACTACATTTTCGAGGGGGACATCTTTCTAAAATATTTTCAGCCCTGCGGCGTTGCCGCTTCTAAAGAAAAGAAGCAACAACTTTGTTATTTCAAATGGAACACCTTGTATTTTATTGCATTTTTAGATTCTCCCCGGAGAGCTGATTTCATCAATGCATCACACTTAGGGTCTAGCTGTAATGGTTTCAGGGATATAAAGTGTTCAAAATCGAGATTTTTCAACTTTAACATTTTTTTGTGTGGAAACTATTCATTATTGGTCAAAACGGCTCTCATGTCCCGATCTCAACTTGTGATTTACTATTTACCGACATTTATTTGAAACAAATACAGGGTGGTTCAAGATTCAGAATTCTGATCACTCTGTATCTGTTCCAATTAAATGTCAGTAGATAGTAAATCACAAGTTGAGATAGGGACATGAGGTTCGTTTCGACCAATAATGAATAGTTTCGACACAAAAAAATGTCAAAGTTGAAAAATCTCGATTTTGAACACTTTATATCCCTGAAACCATTACAGCTAGACCCCAAGTGTGATGCATTGATGAAATCAGCTCTCCAGGGAGAATCTAAAAATGCAATGAAATACAAGGTGTTCCATTTGAAATAACAAAGTTGTTGCTTCTTTTCGTTAGCAGCGGCAACGCCGCAGGGCTGAAAATATTGTAGGACGATGTCCCCCTCGAAAACGTAGTTGACGTGTTTCAGATTCTTTTCATAATCCGGTTTTGGCGACCTACAGAGCCTCTGTTTCGTTTTCAAAGGCCCACTCTGTATACACCGTGTCCCAGCTAAAATGTCCCCCCTGTGAAAAATCAACCGCGCGATCGAATGACTTGAAATTTGGTCACCCAGTATATTTGATGATGCTCACTCGAATTATACTATTGAATAAAT